GAATGAAGAAAGAAAGAAAGAAAGAAAGAAAGAAAGAAAGAAAGAAAGAAAGAAAGAAAGAAAGATATGATGGAAGGAAGATATGATGGAAGGAAAGAATGAAGAAAGAAAGAAAGAAAGAAAGAAATATAGAAAGAAAGAGAGAGAGAGAGAGAGAGAAAGAAAGAAAGAAAGAAAAATATGATGGAAGGAAGGAATGAAGAAAGAAAGAAATGAAGAAAGAAATGAAGAAAGAAAGAAAGACTAGGAAGTTCTTATTTGCCTCTAAATGACCATGACACATCTGGGCCTGGTGACATCATTCAAGTTGTGGAGCATAGCTCCACGGATAGGATTTTAGCCAGGAAGTTTTTATTTGCCTCTAAATGACCATGGGCCTGGTGACATCATTCAAGTTGTGCAGCATAGCTCCACGGATAGGATTTTAGCCAGTGCCTTCTAGGCTTAGCTTCTACAAGCACAGCTCCTACAAAGACAGCCACGGGCAGCTCCTACAGTACAAGCACAGCTCCTACAAAGACAGCCACCACTGCTCCTTGTACTACTGAGATGACGACTATCTGGCTTTAGATCATTCCTCACCACATTTTATAGCTTCTGAAATCTTCCCCAGGATGAAGGAGATCTCTAGGATCACTAGAACCAAAGCAGGGAGGACTAGGAATTTTTTAAATTGCCATGAAACAGCTTCAGCATAGCTGCAGCTGACAACATCATCCAAGTGGCATGGCGTAAGTTGTGCAACAGGATTTCAGACAACATCTTTGGAGGTGCAGCATTTCTCCTTGCCTCACCGAGTCCTCCATTGTCATAGGACAGCATGGTTTGGAGTCTGGAGCAGATATTAGGAGCAGTCAGCACCTACAGTATATACAGGTTCCCTCATTGTTTGGGGTGACCAGTAAGCTAGCAGCATTTCTCCTTGCCTCACCGAGTCAGCACCTATATACAGGCTCCCTCATTGTTTGGGGTGACCAGTAAGCTAGTAGTTACATGTAAAGAACAATGTGTAACACAAATGTTTTATCTGTAGAATGAACAGCAATCATAAGCAGTCAGCACCTACAGTATATACAGGTTCCCTCATTGTTTGGGGTGACCAGTAAGCTAGTTACATGTAAAGAACAGTATGTAACACAAGTTTTATCTGTAGAATGAACAGCAATCATACACCATTGGCTGAGGTAAGCCCCTGTCCTGTGAGGTGAGGCCTGGATCAGTTGCCCCTGCAACTTCCTTCACCATAGGGTTTGTCTGCATCATCTCTTCAACTGCCAGGACTATCCTGATCCTATTTGGCTGTACTAGCAACCAAGGAAAATCTGTTCATTTAGGCCTGGACGAATATAACATTTATTTCAACAAAATGCATTTTGTTCCAGCAGATTTAAGGGAAAACATTTATTTCTTAAAGGCATTTTTGTGTAGTGATGTTTTTCATCTCCAAAATTGCCACCTGCTCATACAATAATACCTCCCTGAAAATGAGGATGATAAAAGTGGAGTAATATGATGTTAAATTGAAGTAATATCAGATGCTGGAGATAGACAACACAGGGTTATGTCTTTTATCTCTGCTTGTCCCTGCTCCCTCCCTCACCCCCACAGCATCGAAAGCTTGCTTTTTGTCCACAATTCTCAGCATTCTCCAACCAGCATGACCAGTTATTTTTTTAATCCCTTTTTACTGTGGATGCCAAACTAGATGGAGAATTGATCTCATTTTCCAGGGCACCTCTTATTCTTGTGTATCTCCAGTGGGGGGAAAATCATAATAACATTTTTTATATTTCTTCTCTCCAAGTGTGCCAGGAGGCAGTATGGGAAGTCTTCAAAACTTTCTGGGATAGGCTTCCTGGACATGAAGAATACCAGAAGTGGCTCAACTTATGTGAGGAAGAAACTATGAGTATATTTGAGATGGGCACCAACTTCAGTCAGTCTGAGGAGCATCAAAGCCTCATAACAAAGGTAAAGAAAACAGGTTTTAAAATATTTCACCCAGAACTGATTCACTAGTACGAAAGATCAAAACATTGTTCTCCATCCTGGGAGCTGTTTTAGTTCAGAGGGCCTCTGTTGCAGGTAATTTGTGTATAGGAATACAGCCTTAATTACAATGATGCTCCCTTCCCTGATGTATTATGGGATCTTTCCCCTAAATGTTTTGCTTCATAGCTGCCATCATCAAGCATCCCCGGATTAATACTTCTAGTCCTCAAAGAGCAGTCCAAGCACACAGGACTGAAATTTATGACTTGGTCTTGATCACTTCTAGCATTGATTCCATGCTTGTTATTTTCCACTGATTTTCCTTTGCTTCACTGGTTCCATGAGCCACTTGTTTGGGACGCTCTGTTATGTTGATCCAGAAATAATTAAAGGCATTCCAGTGTTGTTTGGCTTTTTGGATTAAATTCCAAAATTGATACTTCTCTGATATTTGTTGCCATTCTGATAAGTTATATTTGCATAGTGCTGTTTTTAGTTATCTGGGCATCAATTTACTGTATATAAAAACACTGTTCTGCATTGCTTTGCAAGTGTCAACTGGAAAGTGGTTAAAAATAACTGCAAATGTACATTAACTGCAAATACAATTCAGTTCCAGTCACCAGAACATGGCCAAATGATGAATGTCAAAAACGTAGGGTAAACCTTTCAAGTTGGTTTGAATCCTCTGGAGTCAATTTGTCCTCAAAGCACCACACCTTTAGACTGTAAACCTGCTTTCAGATTCTCGGATAGTAATTGGATTGGTTTATGAGGAAAAGAGACAAATTGGTTTACAGATTGTTGATCCTGGCATTTGAACACAGAATTGGTCTTAATGGACGTTTTTACGGTCACTTCCAAATCTGATTCCACAGTGCTGTTTATTATTCCCCTCCCCCTGCCTTTCTACATTAGTGCTGAAAAATCAACATTTTCCTATGTGCTTTGTGTGCCAAGGAGGTATAGAAAAAGTAACTAACTTCCCAGTCAGCAGATTAGTTGTTCTTTTCTGAGAAATAATCTTACAACATCCAGCTGTTATCTGTTAGTCTCAAACATGGTTTTGTAAAGTGATAGGGTGATGGAGTGGGCAATTTACCAAATGCTGTAAGTCTAAAAGGCCTACTAAGGAATTTGTACTATAAAGCTGTGTTGAGAAATTCTCCACCAAGTCTGTCCAAATCCATTCTTCTGGCTGTGCTCTCTTCAGCAAGCACAAAAAGTACTATTATGGAGCAGATCACTGGTTGATCACACATGGTACTGATGTGGAATAAGACCTGCACATAATTAAGGACCCAAAGAGATGAGAAGGGAAGACTGATGTATTTTTAAAATGGTAATATTTAGTGGTGTGTTACATTATTCTACCAGTGCATGAGGCCTGGAGGGACTGGAATGAAGGATCACACAGACAAATATCTATTACTAAAGAACACAGGGATACTTTTTAGATATAATTAGCTATTATTATTACAATGCTTTGTTAACTTTTAAGGGAGGATGACACATGTACCCTATTGGTACCTTCAGAACTCTCAGCGGCTTTTGATACAATCAACCATGGTATCCTCCTGGACAGGTTCATGGACTTTGGGATTGGGCCTAGCATTGAGGTGGCTCCGAATCTTCCTAGAGGACTGTATCCAGAGAGTTCAGCTAGGGGAAGAGGTGTCGGTACTCTGCACCCTAAGGTATAGGGTTCCTCAGGGATTGGCATTATCCTTGATGCTGTTCAACATCTATGTGACACCATTAGTCGAGGTCACCAGGACATCTGGAGTAAGGTGTTATCAGTATGCTAATGACATGCAACTCTATCTCTCCATCACCATCTCCATAGTGGATGCCGTCCAGACACTTGAGCATTGCCTGGCTTGGGCTGGAATAGACCAGGGCTAATAGACTCAAACTGAACCTAGACAATACAGAGATTTTGCTCGGGGGGGGGGACCTCTGATAGGTGGGGGGGATGGTCCCTAGGCTGAATGGCATTGCACTCCCATTTAGGGGCCAAGTGCACAACTTGGTCATTCTTGTGGATCCGGCTCTTTCTTGGGATCTATCAATCCCAGATTGCAGCTGTTTCCAAGTCAGCCTTCAACCAGCTTAGGCCAATTGCCCAGCTCCACCCCTACCTAGATGAGGACTCCCTCAGGACTTTGGAGCCGGCTCTGGTCATCTCCCAGATCAACTACTGCAATGATCTCTATGTTGGGCTTCCCTTGAGCCTGATCTGGAGGCTGGTCAGACTGGTGGTGGGTGTGAGTAAATTTGATAGTTTGGTCTTTCCTTATTGTCATCTGTCTGACTCACAAGATGATCCCAGTCAAGGATCTTCCAGGTGGCCACCCCAAGGGAAGCCCATAAATGTTCTACAAGATATAGGGCCTTCTTTGTGGTGGCTCCAACCTTATGGAACCAGCTGCCGGAGGAACTCCACCTAGGCCCCTCCCTGTTGATATTTAGGAGGCAGTTAAAGACACTGCTTTTCAGGGAGGCTTTCCACACCGACCCTAGCTGATCTCCTTCCCCTCTACTTTTGTCGTCTGCTCTGATTTTGATTACTCTTTGCCATCTGCTTTTAATGCTTTGATCCTTATTTTTTTGGTTTGCATTGTATTTGTTGTAACTGCCCAGAGTAGTGTCTTGGCACTAACGGGAGCAGGATATAAATTGAAGAAATAAAATAAATAAATAAATATCCATATAAAGATGTTAGGATGGCGCAACACATTGGCATTGTTGGGATGAGTAGGTGCAAACTTAATGCACTAAGATATATATGTACTTTGTGAACCCCAACATAGTCCTATTTCTACTCCTTCATCCTCACTCCATTTAAGTGATGAAACTCACCAGGAAGCTGTAGTTAACCATAACTTCCTGTTTCATGCCTTAAACCTTAGTTCCTTATTTCTGTATAACAGAAAACTCCGGTTAACTATGTCTTGCTGGCTTGTTCCCTAGTTCATGCAAAGGGAGGAGAAAAGGGTTTGCATTCAGGTATAAATATGTTGTTTGTATCCAAGATTTGCTTTTCTGATCCAAGTCTTAAAAACACAGTACTGTACTGACATTGTTAGACACTGCTAACATCAGGAGTGCACAGACTGTGCCCCCTACATGCATTTCTTGACTACTCCCAGTACAGTCCTGTCCTTTCTTACAGAGGCCAGATGGTGAGAAGGCACAAGTCCAGTGCTGCTGTTGGTGGCAAAGGAAAAAAGACAAAGTGTGCTACCTATATACTGCCCCACTGTGCTTAAAATATTCTCTCGGCAATTTACAATTTAATTATGCAGACTACACATTGTCCCCCAGCAAGCTGGGCACTCAACTTACCAATCTCAGAGGGATGGAAGGCTGAGTGAACCTCAAGCTGGCTACCTGGGATTGAATTTGGGTTGTGAGCAGAGTTTTGGCTGCAATACTGCAGTTTAACTGCTGCACAATGAGGCTTACTAAACTCCATACCCATTTCTTAGTTTCTCATTTTTCTGCTATGGAGATCACTGGAGTGGAAAGGGGGAAGTGGAACAGTGAGTCTGTACACTTGTACACACATATGTGCAGTCCCTTGCCCACCGCACTACACTATATGGCCTTTGTTGACAAAAAAGTTATGCATAATTTCATCTTGTCATAATTATGCACTTGTTTTCTTGCTTTTCCTCCAACAGAAGCAAATGGCATGGACTGGAAGTAGATAAACACACTGGCCTACACCAGGACCTAAGGAACATTAAACTGGATGTTTTCAGAAGGGGATGCGTGGAAGTATGGTGGGACAATTCAACACAAGGTTGCTAGTAGTGATCCTACATTTTCTTGATTTGCATAGTTCTGCGCTCTGATGGATCTATCATAGCTGAGCATAGGCATCTCAGAACTCCACAGGAACATTAAACAGGATGTTTTCAGAAGGGGATGGGTGGAAGTATGGTGGGACAATTCAACACAAGGTTGCTAGTAGTGATCCTACATTTTCTTGATTTGCATAGTTCTGCACTCTGATGGATCTATCATAGCTGAGCATAGGCATCTCAGAACTCCACATTTGATTTGCATAGTTCTGCGCTCTGATGAGCTGAGCATAGGCATCTCAGAACTCCACAGTAACAAAATGGATCTTGCTTTTCCCTTTCACTTCCATCCAGACATATGCTTTCTAGAGCATCGGTGTTCCTTACTGAAGAATGGCCATTCCTAGAACTAAATTGTCCCCTCCATATCTTTTCATTCAAAAACACGCTTAAAGGCTTTGAAACAGAGACCCAAACATTTCAGAAGTTTCTCCTTATAGCTTGATCTTGTCAGATTAGCATGTTAATTAGCTAATGAACTTTTCATATGACCTTGATTAATATTGCAGGACAGGAAATGATGCCACAAGCTAGAATAAGTGGTACTTACTAGTTTCATTCTTTTATAATTAGCAACGTATGTCATTGTCTTTTTTGTGTAATACACAGCCTTATTTTCTTGGGACACTTCACATATGATGGATTAATCTGCTTTAACTTTCAGTTCCTGTAATTTAGTATTATGCATTTAGAATTGGCTTAGATAGATTTGTTTACTAAAATCATTTGTTCATAGCCTTTCTGCCCAGAAGAGCTTCCAAAACTATGGAAAACGTTTTTATGTTTTGTTGGTAAATTCTGTCCAATTATCTCCTATGGTCTAAATATATGAATGTATGTTATTATTGCATATATGAGATTTCTATAGTATCATGCACAACAGGTTTACTAGTGAAGCCCACAATGTTTCCTGACAAAAACTTTAAAAATGACTTTACTGTATGGCTTTAATTTTAAGGAGTTGATGCTTATAATAAGATCATGATGATGGGAGGGGTTTTTTCATAGTTTGATATAATGGATTGATAAGGCAGGGCTGATTGTACCATTCTGAGATTAACCATTGCAACATTTTCATTCTCAGTTCAAAGTTCCTATGCTAGCAAACAT